CATGCACCAAAAAAGCTGAAACAGTAAAACTTAAATTTCATGAAAGTTAATCAAATTTGGTAGTACACAGATGTCATCAAAACCTGAATTTCATAAGCCTCGAAGACTTTGACGTTCTAAAACTGTTCGAGGAGTTTGTTTTTACCATCCCACAAATGCACACATTGTTGCAGACCCCTCAGGAAGAGAGCGGACAGAGGGGCACTGCAGACTCCCTCAGGCGTCTCCAGCGGGTTTCTAAATCTGAAATAAACTTCTCAGTCATATGGTGATAAGCAGAATTTGGAATATGTCTCTCTTTTAGTTCATGTGAAATAGAAAGTGATTAGTCATCACAGGAATGAAATATGAGTTATGATGTGTTGATGGATCTTCATATCAAGGCAGGATGAATGATATTTACAGTTTCCTAATGAAAACAAAATGAGTTCTGCTGGGAGTGATTCTCCCAATTGTTGAATTCTTTGCTCTTTCTTTCTCTGCTCACACTTCGATAATCTACAAGTACTGTTTGGATACTGTGTTTCACTTTCTTTTCTTGCTAAAAGTTTTCAGTGATATATTCCCTGAGCAAATCCTTCCCAACCAAGTTTAATTTTCTATGGACACAAATTCAAGTCAATTAAACAAATGTTTGATTAATTTATCACACAGAGTGCTACCTTGAGTTAAAACAATTCCACTTTGTGGAGAGGTCTTTTTGTTCAAAAGAGAGTCCTTCTTTCTAAGAGTGGAGCTCTGATTTTAATTAAATAAAGAACATTTTATGCAATTTTTTTCTGAAGCTTGAGATTAATTTCTATGGTTACTAGGGATATAAATCTCTAGATTGCTTTAAAACAAAGATTTTTGTTCAGAGAGGGTTGACAGCTCTCTTTAAGAGAAGCTATTACTTAATTTCACTTTCCTAAGTTTAAACGCATAAAAATATTTGTAATGATACCCCAAAGGCATCATAAAAATGTAAAATAATTATACTCTAAAATATCTAAAATTACAGGAAATAGACCTCATTTTAAAAAATGAACTGGGATTCATAGCTGGGGAACTGGGGTGTGACATACTTCAAAACCAGAATCTCTTGTTAGGAGCCTTTTTTTGTAATGGTAAAAAAAATCTTTTCGGTTGCCAATCAGACAAACTTAAAAATATGTTCATTCTGTTAGTAAATATTTCTTTATAGTTTCATTACCTTTAACATGTGTTACTGTATTATGTGTAGAGATGTTAGCTCCCCTTTGAGAGACAAATTTCTGTCTCTAGGATTAAATGGCATCTGCTTGATTTACAGATTAACTGTATCACAGTTAGTCTTTAGATTGCTTTTAACGATTATTTTAGAAAGCACATAGCCTAGTTTTCTAAGCAGCTTGAATACGGGCAGCATAAAGAGTTGCCAGTGTTTTACTTACCCAAAGTATACTTCCTTTTCAGTAGATAATGTTAACTGGTAAATTGTTCCCAGGTTAAAAGGTTTGTCAAGTTTTAATAAATGTAGTGCAAAATCTGTAGTAGAGACGCTTAAAGGAAAAAAACCCAACTTTTTAGGTAAATGAACTGATACCTTCTTTCCTACTTTAGTAATGTAGTATATGTTCTATGCCACTTTCATTTACCAAAGATTTAAGTGGGCTTTATATAGTAAAACTTCCTTATTTTATTAGGAAAAGTGAAATTAGGTTTTTAAAATATTAAGACAAGTTTTGAAAGAAATGGCATTTTGTATGTAATTATGAGTGCTGTTGAGACTAGATATGCTTGTAGTTTAAAACATGCCCAATCCAGGAATGCTTTGCATTAAATGAATTTATATTTTGGGAGCAAAATGGAGAGAAAGAAAACACTTTCCCTCCTTTTTTTTTAAGAGACAAGAAAATTAAGTTGGATGCCCATACTGAAAGTGCTATAAGCTGACTGGGCAACAAAAGTAAACACTGATTATTACCAATGTACATGGGGACTGATTTACTTTTATCTTTCAAAGGGAACATTTCCCACAGTTTCTGTGGGTTTTTATATAAGTTGGGAAAACCTTGGAAGTTTGTGTGAAAGTATAAATAAGTTTGGGAAAGTCATGATTAGAGTTTGATAATAAACATGCAAAAGCAGATTCGGAAAGTCTATTAAAGTCAGATGTAACATTTAATAATGTTTTCTCCAAAAATTCATTTTCAGAGAGAATGTTGGTTTATTTGGATCTGGAACAAAGACTTCAGCTATAATTGAAAAAAAGGGTTAAATATGAATTCTTCAACATGGACAAACTTTTGTCTTTTTAGAAAATAATTTAGTGATTGTTATAGGAATCCCTGAAATGCCCCTTTATGGGCACAGAAATTACATATGTATTTATAGATTCCATTTAAAAAACAAAATACATGCTTAGTTGCCAGGAAAGCTTAAACTGTGTTTTACAAAATAAGCATTAAATATTAGCATATAAGGAAATTCTTTATTTTTAAGAAGGAAAAAATTTTAGTTGTTTAAATTATTTAAATATACCACAATGTAGAGTATAAATAAAAATAAAATTTGAAAATCTTAAATTCAGTTGAATTCTTATTATGATATTAACCTCGCAATTGCAAATTGGCATTTTATTTTTAGTTGCTTATACTCCAATTCTTGGAGAAATTTGTCCATTTTTTACTGTCCATTTAGTAATGATACTAAAGTTCAGAAAGGTATCACTTTGCCAGTTGTTTATTACATACAGGCACTTTTGAAGTAGTAGTCATGGCAACATTTGACCCGTTACTTACTATTACAGTATAGAATTTTTGAAGGATTTCTCTTGTAAAGTTTTACTTCACTTTCTTGGATACAGTTCTGTATGTATCCTTTAAAAGTATGTGTGTATATGTTTGGTGGGGGGCAGTTAATGTTAATATTTTGGTGACAATTTTATTGCTTACAAATTGACACATGATTTTAATTGAAATTCATTGCTCTGATAAGAATGGAAATTTTTATATGCATGATATTTCAAATGCTTTACCTAACAATCTCAAAAACTATTAAAAAGTTTTTAAATGTATATACTAGTTTTGCTTTTAAACCTTTCAAACTGAGTTCTGAATACAAAATTCAAATATAGGAATTAAACATTTTCCTGTCTAAATAAATTAGTAAATCTTAAAATTAAAAGTAGGAAGAACAAATACCATTTGATTCTCAAAATCAAGATCTGTATGCTACAGCTCATTGTCTAACCATTATTTTTCTAGCTCTTTTTATACATGTTTTTCTCTAGTAAATATTTTAGAAACTAATTATTTTATGCTATTCTGAGCACTTAAGAATTTTTATCAGGCTAGTCCTTGTTTTATAAAACTTAGCAGTTAGCAGTTTGCTGCAGTTTTTTTAAATCCTAGAAACCACTGAATTTTCTTTTCTTTCTATTTTTTTCAAGCAAAGAGGATGTTAGAATGTTTTATCTGAAATATTTTTTTTGTTTGTTTGTTTGTGTGTACAGAAGTACTTTAAGTTTCATGCCTTATTTACTCCAAAGAAGACCATAACAAGGGAAAGGAATCTCTATTTTTTGGAGGACAGGGAATAATGAAACAAGGTCTGTGCTTTTGTTAGGAGCTTGAGCATTTGTATTATTGGGTGAAGCCGGCATGCTCTGCATTTTATTCCCATTCACTCAGTCGAAAGATGAATTTGGAGGCAAGGCTATGTATCTTGTTACCAAGTCCTTTATCTCAGAGCCTCGTGATAAAATGCACATTGATTCCTTTGCTTTTGTTTTTACTAAGAGAGAGAAAAAAATTTAATAGAGCAAAGCACTTACACTTTTGGGGTTTATTATCAAGCAGTGTTTTCTGCTTGAATGTAAGTGATGGGCACCTGTCAAAGCGGTATGGAAGTTGAATGCACGTTCTTTCCTTGTACCGTCCACAGTTGATTTCGCTCTTCTCTTTGCTGATGTGAAGCAGAAACTGGACAAGGTAACAGTTTTGATGATGAGATTAGAGGTAGCCAGGCTGACTGTCTCCTGGCTTTTAGAGAACCGTACAAGCTCAGGGCCACCCCCTCCCCTTGTTTAGATATTACTTGCTCTTTTGAGTTTCAGATTACAGGAGCAATTGATCTGCATGACCTGTCTTAAGAACTTTAACTTTGCAGTGGAAACTTAAACCAAATGTATATCCTCAAGAGACAGACAAATCATCTTAAAGCAGGCTGTTGTCATTTTGATGTACTGTACTGTTTGCTGAGGAACAGTGTGGTAGAGAGCAACACCTAGTGGATGGGAACTATACTTGCGGGGATGGGAAGACGACTTAGAGAACGAATCTATTTTGATGTAACTCTTGCCCTTGACTTGCAAATGAGTGAGGTTTTGTGTTCTTGCAGTCACAGTTTCTACCCAGGGCGAGAACCCCAGGAGAATGAGGTCGAGAGCACTTGTGATATGTCAAGTTTATCTCTGGTTTTCCCTCTTTTGTAGGTGTAGGTATCAGTCCTTTTGTAGGTGTAGGTTATCAGTCCTTGCCATCTTCACAAACATTTTCTCCTTACAGTTGATACTGTAATTAAAATTTAAGGATTATTTTTTTAAATGTCCATAGGGCAGCATTCAGTTTCGGGGATTTCGTGTTTTTGAATGTCTGTGTTTAACCTTAGTAATAAGAGACTCCCCAGTTTGTTGCCAGGAACTGTACCTATTGCTAATCTGCTCACCTGAGAGAGGAGGAACTGCTGCTGCTGACCAGCTGTGCACCGTGAGTTGCTGGCAGCTTATTATAGACAGTTTCTGCCTTTGGTGTATACTAAAATGTTTGCAACAACGATGTGGAAAAATTCCATATGAAAAAAAAAACTTTAATCATAACCACCAGTTTTTGCTGTGGCTGTTTCCTAATGTTGATTTTAGAATGACATATTCTTGATAAAATGTATCACTTACTCAACAGACATTTGTTGAACTAGGAAACTTGCCAGGCTTTGGGAATCCACAGTGAGCATGACACAGTTCTTTTTGCACATATAATTTTTAAAAGTCTTTTAATTCTTCACCACAAAAGGGAGTGAACATATTCCTGGGATGTGGAATGTATTACGGTGGAGTATAAATTTATTTGCTTAGTATTTTCTGCCATGATTGGAAGAATTTAGAAGACATTTAGCAAATGCTTTTGGAGGAGCTGATAAATACAATTTATGGCTTTGTTTTAATGAGTTCGGTGTGTGGGAAGTTGTAGAAGGCTGCATGATAACTTGTCCTCTGATTTGGTTCTTCAGCTCAAGTTTTTTCCTGGAAGAGCCCAAGTTTGGAGATAAAAAGTGAAGACTTTAAGAGCCCAGGCTCTAGAGTCTATTTTGGAGTAGCATCCTTGGCTTTTTGGTTCACTAACTATATCACCTAGGTAAGTTACTTAACGGCTCTGTACCTCCGTTTCCCTATTTGTTATGAGAACTAAATGAGATAATCTATGCCACGGGCTTAGTGCAGTGCCTGGCACTTAGTAAACACTATTTATGCTGCTGCAGACAGCGATGACAGTGACAAGCTAGGATTCCCTCCCTTCTCTCCCCTTTTCTGTGTGTTGTAAGGCAGACATGTGAGTGGATCACAGTGCTCGCAGACTCTCCCTCACACCTGCAGGCCCCAGGACGCCTGCTGCCCCCAGCGTCCCGCAGCGTGACTGGTTAGTGTTACAGCACAGACAGGTCCTGCAGACCGAGGACCCGAGCTGTCTTCAGTGCTGCCGAGCAAGTGCTTCCTTACACACATGAAGGTTACCTAATGGTTGTGCCCTCCTGTGCTTGTGTATTTGTTTGTTGAACCATATTTTGTGATCAGAGGTTCTTAACCTGAGCTCCAGTGAGCCAAGAGCACTTGAAGCTCAAAATGGTAGACAAAATTTTGTACCCTTGGAAATGTTGATTTTTATTAAGGGAAGAGATCATAGACACAGCTTTTATCAGTCTCAAAGGTGTCTGTGCCCCAATACAAGGTCGAGAACTGTAATTTAGATGTCCATGGTTCTTTCTGGAAGGCTACTCTTTGAAGTTAAAAATATAACCTCCTCCTAGAAAATGAATACAAATTTGAATTTTATACTGTTTGTTTCATTAAGGTACATGTATTTTAAGGATAGAATTGAGATTTTTAATTTGAGGAACTCAAATTGAAATGGAATGTTTCTTCCCTTTACCCTTCTCATCAAAGTTCTGAATAATAATAAGAGCCAGGAGAAGTTAGGAGTACAGGCCCTGGAGGAGACGCTTGAGCCAGTTACTGAGCCCCTGCCGTCTGAGAAGCAGGTATCAGTGGCACCTATGATACGGCTGTGTGAGAGTTAAATGAGGTCTTCTGGATAAGCTTTGAGAGCCTTTCTTGGCGTTAAGTACTACGGAGGTGTTTGCTGTTATCACGGCTGTTGCTTATTTATCCAACTACATCTGTAATTTGCAGAAATTAGTTGCCTGTTTCAAATTGCCTTGTTTGTCTGTTTTACATCCATGTTGTTGTAGTGAACAATTGTATGTATTTCTGATTGCTTATGCTCAGACTTTCCAAGGTTCCATAGCTGAATTGTCCTGAGTCAGAAAACATTATTAAATGATGATCCTAAATGCATAGATCCTTAGAATCATGCTTGAAACTTTGGGAAGCATAAAAGAAGTAAAAAGAAACCAGCCAGGTGTGGTTATAAGGAACTTTCAAGTTAATTGAACACCAACAAGTTACCTTGGTTTTTCTGACTCTGAAGGACCTTCTCATCTAACCTTTGTAGTGTGCAGATGAGGGAGGAATCAAGGCCCAGAGCAGTGACTCTGAGGTCCTTAAACTGGCTCGGGGTCCCAGTGTGCCTCGCCAGAAGCAGGGTCCCCCGCTGCCTGGAGCTGACCACCACCACAGCTTTCCCTCAGGAACACTTTGTGTTTTCCCAAAGAGCAGAATGGATAGGGGCTGCCTGCGGAGTGCGGTGCAGTCGGTGGCTCCAGAAAAAGTGTGTGTGAGCAAGATTCTGTTCTTTGGAGGAGAATACCAGCGCTGAGAAAAAGGAGGGCATCTCATGCGAAGCAAAGGTATGTGGAAGAGCACTGGGGTGCAGTGGGTAGGCCTCCCCTGGAGGTGCATCCACAGAAACTGGAGGTCAGCTGGGTGCTTGGCGGGAAAGAGACGCCCCTTTCAGCGTGCCTGTTGTCCACTCTGCCCAGTGTGCCGCAGGCTGTGGGTGAGCTGGGGCTGGGACTGGCTGTGCCCCACACTGGTTTTGTTCCCCTGGGACCTCTTCTGTGAAGAGGATCATACCTCACTGCCTGTGATTCTGGCATCTAAGAAAAAGTACTTTTGCTCTCTTCATGCCTCCTGAACCCAAGAGCCACTTCCTCTGACACTCAGCTGATGAAAGAGCAATCTGCTCTGGCTCCGGGGAGGCTTTGAGCCATTTTGAACTTATGGCAGGAGTGGATGCTGGAATCCAGTGGCCTTCGTAAGTGTCATGTGGATTATGTGTGGTTTTCACCTTAGGCAGTACAGTTAGGCTTGACCTGAAGTGCGTGCGGCTTTGCTGCGGAGGCGCGAGAGTCAGCAAGACAGCAGTTTAGCTCTTTTTAGGAGCTGCCTGTGCCAGGTGAGCTGTCCCTTGGCTGCCTTTGTGAAAGGCTTTTCCAGATGCCCCACCATCATGGATTTGGGCTTGGATGGAGTTGTCTCCACCACTCCATGCTGCTCTTTGCTCTGTGCCCTTACCTGCCTTTGCACCTGACTTTGGTTCATGTTGGGGGGCCACCCATTACCATTGAGGAGACTCTGCAGCCAGACTCTCTGGGACCACGTTTTGTTATGTCACTGACTCACAGTGTTTAACCTCTCTCTGGGCCTCAATTTCCTTCTCTTTCATAGGGGTAATACCAGTACCTCCCTCAGAGGGCTGTGGGGAGGGTTAAGTAAGTTAATACATACATATAAAGTTCCTAGAAGAGTCCTGGTGTATAGTAAGCACTCAATAAATGTCAGCTACTATTATTTCCACCACCTGTCCCCCAATTATGCTGGATTTGTGCCAATTCAGGCTGCTTTTCTTCCTCTGACTACAGTTTTTCTCTTTGCTCCTCAGTGTTGTGTTTTGTGAATGACCTTGTAGGTCATAGTCCAGGTCTCCACACCTGTCCTTCTATCCACTGCCCCATGGCAGTCCACAGTCCACACTGACCTTGCCTCAAGAGTGAGACCCAAACAGTGGAAACCATAGAATGATTGAGTACCAGCTTTGTGCCAGATACAGTGTCTGACTTTTTACAGGCATCACTTTCATGGGACAACTTGTAGTCTCTTCCAATGTTACTGTCTCATGTTTAGACATCAGAGGTTAAGGCAGGAGGACGTCTTGCACAAGGCCATGTCACTGGTGACAGAGCTGGGATATGTATGACTCTGTGGTCCATGCCTGAATTACCAAGACTGGGAGAAATGCCACACACATGCATGCTCTGCACACACTGTCCACACAGTCCACACCCACTGTCTGCACACAGCCTCCAGGGCAGGTAGGGTTTGATTGGATCTGAAAAGACATGTGATGCCCTGTCAGGTCCTTGGGTTAGAACTTCCTGTGCTGTTGCCTTTCCTCCCGTCCTCTCATCTGTTTTATTATCTCCTTTCTTAATGTGCCCGGCTCATGCTGGGGCTTACGTACTTGTCAAGGTAACAAACAAAAGAGGTTTCCACACACACTGAAGAGAAAGTACTGATGATTAACTGGCATAGGTTCCAGAAGCACGAGCCATGCCCTCACCCAGCCTCCCCGTGCACTTTTGGATGGGGTTACTAGGTAGGCAGGTGAGAAGATCTGATTTCGGAAGGCAGTTAGCAAAGTCTCCCCTGGTATTTTTGTGGAGGAAAACTTTTTTAAATGGACTGAATATTTGGACTATTTGGGCATCTGTGACTGGTTGAGCTGGTTGTCTCCAAGGAGGGGTTTTTGACTAGATGCTTCTTTTTCAGCCCTGTTTTCATCCTATTTTTTTTTAATTGATGATTTTTAGTTGCAATGTCTTTAGTGGCAGAATGATCAGAGTGGCAAATGACAAGAAGCCAGGGGAAAGCTATAAATACAGGGAAGCCGGAGCTTAGCAGCAGCAGTCAAAAAAACTAAATTTTAGTTGATGTTAAGTCAACTTGAGTGACGTAAAAGTGAGCATGCTCTTAGGTGGCATTAGTAGAAGCCTAGAAGCTAGAACAAGGAAGGCGACGGTTCTGCTTTCGTCTGCATTTCCTGCTGACACGCAGGGTATTGAGTCCGTTTTGAGAACAACATTTGATGGTTGAGGCCCAAAAACTGTAGCATTCAGAGGACAGCGAAGAATACTTGAGGGAACTGAGAATGTATGGCTTAGAAAAGACAGGAGACTCGGGTGGGGAGAACACAGCAGAGTGTTCTGAACCCAGTTCAGGGTGAACAAGAACTTTGTACTGTTTGAAGTAGAGCGGATGACCTGCAAGGGGCAGCAGGTGTCCTCCCTACCATGCAGACGCAGCAGGGAAGTGGCCTCTGGGACCTTGATAGCCTTGAGAATCCTGGAGGGCAGATATTGACTTGCTTTCTACCCTTTCTCATCCAGCATGTGCTGGGCAGACAGCAAGGTGGATGTTGCTTTGGAAATGGGGATGTGCTGGCGATGCCAAATAAAGGCAGTGTGGGGAGCTAGAAGAACGGGATTCAGTGTGTAATTAGATTAAGGGTGATCTTGCAGACAATGAGGTGAAGAGAAAGTTGGGGCTGGACGGAGTGAGGAGGAGAAAGTTGAAAACAGGAGAGGCCTTTGCTTCTTTCTGAGGTCAGAGGTCTTAGACCTGTTTTAAATTGAAAGTTGCACTGAGCTTCATGGGTCATTAAGCACTGTATGGTACTGTTCAACTTTTGAAATAAGTCCTAAGTCTTTTCATTATGTCATTAACACTAAGAATCTTAAGATTTTTTTAATTTCTAGATTTCTTTAAAAAGGGTAGGGGCTTGATGTTAGAAAGGAGCAATACTTTTCAGGTTGCTATTCAAAAATTATACCACCAAATTCCCCCCACCTGGTGTTAATTGTCCTTGTCCCGTCTGTTTAACCGTCTTACTGTCTGCTCATCAAGACTGTGAAGCCAGCATTGGAGAGTGGAACTAGAAACGTCAGCCTCTCTCTTTCATGCACACATTTTCCTCTCTCTTTCTAAAAACATACGTTGCATTGTGAACACTGCCGTCCAGGAAGGTTGCCATTGGTCCATCACAAAAACCCAGGGCAGGTTATGTAGCTGCTGATTGCAGTTTTCCTTAGCTGAATGCAGCCTTATGTCTTTCTTCTAGTGAGGTTTCCAGACTGACAGAATAGAGCACTTTATATATTCAGCTAGCAGTCATGTTCTTTAATGCATATAACATATATACTTCCAACTGCTGTGTGTATGACATTCAACTGTTCGTACATTCAAAGCACTTACGGCGCGGCTCACGGAGGGCTTTGTGCAGAGAAAGTGGTGACATGAACCCAGAGAGCCTGTTTTAGTACCTGCTTGTGCCCAGCACACGGAGGAGAAATTTGGCCCATGAGAAAGAAGACATTCAGGTAGAGAGAACAGCAGGTGCCGAAATGCAGAGGCAGAGACGAGGAGGCCTGAGCGGACAGGTTCTGCGGGTCTGGAATATGGGCGCGGGCAGCGCGAAGGAGACGCTGCTCGGGGCTGCCGGTTCCTTTGGCAGGCCTTTAACGGGTTGAATGGACAGTGGACAGGCTTGGCTGACCAACTTAATTTGTGGGGCGAAAGGCAACGAAGAGTCTAAAATGACCGTGAGGTCGTCTTACTTGGGGAGTCAGGAGAGAGCGCCCCTGTGTCTTTGGGGGCATAGGGACAGGAGGGTGGAGTGCGAGTGGTCGGATGACTAACACTTTGGTGCGTGTTGCTTTTG